GTAAAGACCACAACAAGCATATAAACAAAGCCCCTAAAAAGCAAAGCCTCCAAATCCCCTTCTGCCACATTGATTCTGACTCAGAGCCACCACACATCAGGAGGCCCTGGAGCCCAGCGCTCCCCCTGCTGGTGATGCTGGGGCCTGGGTCTGGATCTCCGATCTCTCTTGTCATCTGTTCTGTGAAGAATTTGTGGCTCTGGATTGTGCATTCTGTGAAGAGAGGGGCATTATCTTCGCGCGGTCTTCACATGTACAAAGTGTTCGATAAATCGTATTGAAAGTGTGGTGCAGACTTAGGGGAAGACTGTTGATGACCTAGTGCTTCCTTTGTTTGAGAGATCTGATCAGCACCTTGGGGGGCTGCTGAGTGAGAGAGGGGACAGAAGGGAGAAGGAGCGAAGGAAAGAAATACAGATAACAAGAGGACGAAGGTTCCTTTTCAGAGCGATTGCAGACCCGACAGGCTTGTGTGGGAACAGCTGTTCTGAAAGTCATTCCACTGTGTAACAAAAAGGTTCTGCAGATTTACTCACATTTAATTGATGGGGCACTGAGCACAAGTTATTCTGAAGAAGGTAAGAAGCCTCTGAAGGGAAATGATAACAAATAGTTGGACACATTCTTGGGAAAATATCTTCTATCTCAACATATCCTAGACAGAACAAGTTGTTGTTGTTGTTGTGTGCTATCAAGCTGGAAGCAACTCACAGCTGACCTTTTAGTGGGTTTTCAGAGGCTGTAAAGCACATGGGAAAAGACAACCTGTAAATAACGTGGGAAAAGACGGCGTGTAATTAACATGGGAAAAGACGGCCCATCTTTCTCCTGTGGAGAAGCTGGTGGGTTTGAACTGTGTGCCTTTGAATTAGCAGCACAACTCCATTTCACCTGACTATCAGAACTTCCTAGACAGAATAAGACAGGCGGGGGGTGGGGAGGAAATCCTACTTATTCTTCTAACCATTTAGTGTTTGATATCTTCAGTGCAGGAACGGCGCATAACAGCAAGCACATGCAAATTGTGAAAAGCCATTGATTTGCTGTCGATGTTGTCAGGTGCCATGGCGTGGAATCTGATCAATCAAAACTCCAGGGGCAGCAAGGAAGCACTGGCCCAGTCCTTCCCCATTGCCACCCCATGCTGCTACGTTGACTTAGGATTTTAAGAGCAGTGGTGATTTTCAGGCTGTTTGTCATCCCGCCCCTGTCACCCCGGGAAGGCAGCAAATGCTGCAATTTGTGGTCAGAAGCCTCTGTGACTGTTGGCCTCTGGGTGAGCTGGAACCGCAGATGCACAGACTCCCCGCATGCTGCTCTTTGCACGTGTCAACATCATCTAGCTCTTCTGGATGCCACGTTGTCCCTGGGAAGCCCCATGTGGGTTTTGTAAGGCCATCCCAATTACAGCTGCTAATTGTTTCCATATCCCTTACTGAAATAAGCAAACACTCTCACAGGCTGGCTAAACAGATGTAGCCGTAGAGCTCAGTGTGACAAGCTGCAGAGCTCAGGGGTGAAGGGGATGAAAGATGGGGTGTCTCCTTCAGAGAGGAGTTGCTGAGTTAGGGAACGTGTGATCACCTCCATCATGGACATCCAGAACAGGGGGAACAGTGATGAGGGGGCGGCATGCTGTAGACTAGACGTCTTTAGGAGTACCCAGAGTGTCCTGTTCCCTGGCTGGGTTAACTAGGGATGAGTGAATGCTAATTATAAATACTAGCTCGTGCTGCATAGCGAAGGGCTCTCCACCATCAGAAGTAAAGCAATCGGGAAGCAGTGATAACAAGTTAGATTCCACATACCCACCCAGTGCCCTCCACACACTTGTCTGGGAAGGTCTCCAGGTAAAGCCTCAAGCTGCTGGTCAGATGCAAGACAGAGAAAGAAAAGAGCCTGGCCTCAGGTCAGAGGGCTGGATGCGATGATCCTGGTTTCCCCTCACACTTTCTGAGTCATTTTTGGCAATGAACTGGCAATGAACACAATCCTCTGAAACTTGTTCCCTTGGCTAAGGGCTTAAAAGGAGTTCATTCTACTTCTCCTGCAGTCTGGCTTGAATGATCAGATGATCCGTTCTGGGTGACTCTGATGGGGCCCAGGAGAAGGATAGCTTTCTCCTGCTGCCCCCTGTGTGGCCGGTTCTGTACTCTGTGCTCTGCCTCCGGGGAGATGCAGAGAAGGTGGAAGAGGGGTGACTCAGTTTCCACACTTACTGTGGAGGGGAGAGCCCTAAATTGTATATGCATACAAAGAAGTTACTGAACATGTCCATTCTTAAGCCTGTTTTAGTCAAACCCATGCATATCCACGTGCTTTACAATTAGGGAGTAGCTAAGAGTCTTTAAAAGTTTTCAGGGATAGAAGACATCTTCATGCAGTAGGGGCTGTGAAGAGCTTAAGCACGCTTTAACAAAGAGGAGGCGACAGTGTGTCCTGGCACAGGTCTCAGGAAGGAACGAATGTGATATGTCCCAGACCAGTGAGGAAATCCAGCTAGGCTGGGGTCAAGACCTGACTGGAGACATTGTGGGAGAGGTGGGCTGAGGGAGGAAGACCCTTGTGCTGGAAATCCTTGAACTAAACGCTAGGAGCACTGGTAAACATCAGAGAGTGTCACTGGTGGCTTCTTAATCATGGTGAAAGGGAGATTCAAAGATGGAAAAGCCAGAGCCCTGGGTGGGGTGGGCAGTGAGGCTCTCTAGAGGAGACGGGCAGGGCCTATGGAGTTAATCTAATCACGAAGACCACGGCCACCATGGTAATGACAGAAGGCCTGGTGAGGTGGTGTGCATCTGAGGAAAACTGGCCCAGAACGACGGACAGACTGTGCTAACGGATCATGGCAGGAAGGCGAGGGAGAGGAGCAAGGTGCAATCTGCCTCTTTTTCCCTGGAGCTACTGCTAGGTTGGAAACTCAGACTTTAAAAAAAAAATTATTATTCATAGAATTTGTTTTATTTAGTTATATTTCACTCATGAATATGGTGCGATGTTTTCTCCCTTACAATCATCTTATTAACAACTATATTTGTGAAAGCATGTTTGCCAGCTGCTTCGTACCTCCAGCCCTGATATCCCTCTTCTGGATAGCCAGTTGCTGCCCGTCCCTTTCAAACCAGTTCTCTGAGGAAATAAACATGTCCCTTTTGCTGAAGAGTCCTCTGTTCAACGTGGACACTTTGAGCATCTGTATCCACTAGCAAAGTCCAGTCCAGACAAGCCGTCAGACAGCTGCCACTGACTCATGCTCGCAGCGTGGATCATCTTCTCTTCATCTGCGTGGGTTCTGGTCAGCTCATCCCCAGCCATCTGGGACTAAGGTCAAATGGGCATCGGCTGCAAGCTCAGGAGGCCATACTGTTCCCTGCTTGCTAGACCTGCTGGTCTCCTCACTCAGCCCTTACCCCCACACGGGGCTAAGTCAACAAGCCAGGGGTCCTAACTCTCTGTTCCTCAAGCCAACAACCCTACTCTGCTCATCCCCACATCCGGGCATGCTAGGTGGGCGGAGCTGAAGGAACACGCCCAAGCTCAGCCTGCTCTTCCCTTGTATTGCTCCCACTTCCTCCTGTTGGTCCAGGTGATCACCACAACTGAGTTTACTCCAACCTCGAATCCAGGAATTGGGCTCCGATGGCCACCAACTTGACCCCGCTCCAGGAGTCAAACAGCTTGTTCCAGTTTTGAAGACAGTCTCTTCCTTTATTCCTCCCCCCTACTGTCCTTAGAGGCTTGCCCTTCTTATAAATGTGTGTCTCTTCAAAGTAAGTTCCAATGTGGGTTTACAATTCCATTCAAATGTAAATCTCCTCAGAGACCCAGATGGGAATCAACCCCTCCCCTAGACCAAGCCCTAAACAGCCTCTACAAGATACCACTTAAAAATATTATTATTATTAATTTTAATGAAAATTTACAGAGACTTTGGATTTCCATTCATTCGTTGTTGCACTTTTCTCCCTGACCCTGTCTCCCAGTTCATTCTTCTCTTTGAAAAGTAAAAGAAAAATTCTTTCATTGTTATACAATCCCTCCTCCCAAGTCCACTCCACTGTGCAGCCTTCGTTCTGGACTCCCGTCATGACAATACTACCTAAGCTCCAGTCTGTCCTTTGGAGTCACTATGAGTTAAAATTGACCCAACAAAACACCACAGCCACTTCCCATTTGAAATCAAAGAGAATGGAGCCTAAAGGGGCTTTGAGTCTTATCTAAAGTCCCTCTTGAAGTAACTGGCACAGGCAGGGTTTGAACCCGTGTGTGGCAGACTCCAAGCCCATGTTCTTAAGCTTTGTGCCAAACAGGTGTGTAAACCATTGACCGGAGGCATCTTTTATTTTCTCATCAGCTCCTGTTTTCCATTCACTCTTACTTGGTTGCTTTCATAGAATGGTCTCTGGTTAATATCCAAGTAAATTCAATGCAGGACAAAGCCCTGATTAACATGGAAGGTTGACAGAAAAATCAAGGGAATCCGCACTTAATATTTATAAATACACTCATTGTTTGTAATGGTCCTAAAGCACCAGCTACATGGAATCTTCAGAAATAAAGATATTTTATTCTTTTGTTTCACCCATTAACCTGGGGCCTCAGGCAATACCTGTGGAAATGCTTCGGTGAAAAAGAAACCAAAAATACCCCTCAAATATAACAGACATCAACTCTCCTTCCTCCAGCACGTCCAGTATCTTTCTTCCTCTCTCTCTTATTTCCCAAAGGCCAGCATACTTTTTGGAACCAAAGGGCTTTTATGGGATTTTGGTTTCTATTCTAAGACTCAATCTTCTGTGTTCTTCACTCTGAACAGAGGTACAAGCAAGGGAAAGGGTCTTTCTTTTCTGACTGCTAGCTGACAAAGCAAACGTTATATTTCAACTGTCAAGTAACAGGCCACTCATTAAAGTCTCTCCCCAGCCTCAGACACAGGCTGGGGAAGTGCTCATAAATATCTAAGACCCTGGTCATTTCTTTTTCTATTTAGCGGGTCTTACCTTGCCAACATACAAAGGATCTGTTCCCGTGTACTCCTCCAGAACAAAAAACTGGTTCCACACCCAGCTCCTCTTGGTTCGCTGGTGGGACTGCGGCTTGTCTGCTGGGGTCACCTCCACTTCTCCTTGGGGTGTCAGTGGATCCGAAAGAGCAGCGGTGGTCAGGTTCATCAATCCCCAGAAGTATAAGGACATGCCAAGTCCAAGCCAATGCTTTGCATTGCTCATTCTACCAGAGGTCCACCTGGAATCGCCAGGGTTCCGGGAAGCAGGAAGCAGGACACCAGAGAAGAGCTGATGGAACTTGAGTATTTTCCAAGTGTAAAAAAAAATAAAAATAATGCAGTTTATCGGACACTTATGCTTCCCAAATGAGGTCTCGACTCACATCAATCCGCTTGAAGTTGACTTTCTGTCAAGTTAAGGAAAACAGATTGTTACAATGGCAAATTCTTTCCTGTTGGCTTGTTGTAAGTTTGCAAGAACTGTCAGGTCAGACCCGGCTTTCTGCTCCATGAATTAAGGACCTGTACCAGGTTATTGCTTTAGAAATGTCTCAGTGATGAATAATATCTCGATAACGAAAGAACTAACTTACCTTGCCACAATCAACCCCAAAACTTTGGATTTCATAAAAAAAAGAGTCAATGCCTTGGGAGCTTAGCTTCAATAATTTGCTGTATTATTGATTGACTTGAATTAATAGAGCACACTTTGAAATATTTATGATCTGTCAGATTCTCAAATTTTTAAAAATATCATTCATTTCCAAATTTTAACAATGAATGCATAGTTTTTTTAAAAAAGCTATTTTTCCTGGTTCATTAAAAGAAATAAAAACAGAATGAAATTATCTTTCTGGTATCTATAGTTATGTGGTGCTGGACTTAGGCAGTTGTTTTGCCAACCCAAAGCCTTTGCCTTTCTGAAGTTCAAAACCCCCCGCCATTCTGTGGGAGAAAGATGGTTAATCTCCTCCTGTGTGACTCATAGCTTATGAAACCCAGCAGGGGACCAGCTGTGAGTGAATTTCGACTTGACAATAATGAGTGAGCCCTGTTTCAGAGAAACTCCAGTGATGCAGAGGCCAGACACTTGGCTGCTAATTAAATGGTCAGAAGTTTGCACACCCATGTTTATCGCAGCTTTGTTCACAATAGCAAGGAGTTGGAAACAACCTAAGTGCCCATCAACAAACGAATGGGTAGAGAAGCTGTGGTGTATTCACACAATGGAATACTATGCTGCATTGAAAAACACGAAACTCATTCAATATTATTCAAAATGGGTGACCCTCGAGGGCATTATGCTTAGTGAAGTATCTCAGTCACAAAAGGGCAAATACTGCATAGTGCCACTGTTGTAGAATGGGACTGACATCAGGGTTGGGGTAAGACTGAGAAAAACTGGATAAATTATGTATACTGCATGGAAACAGATGAAGGAAAGAACAGTTCAAAAGCAATATAGGGTATTATGATTATAATAAGAGTCCGGAATGAAGGTTGCAGAGTGGACTATACTCGGGGTGGTGGGGGTGGGGGGGGTTTGGGGGGATTGTATACCAATGAAGGAATTTTTCTTTTACTTTTCAAAGAGAAGAGAGAACGGGGAAGGGGAAGTGGGGAGAAAAGTGCAACAATGAAGGAGTGGAAATCCGAAATCTCTGCAAATAGTCATTAAAATTAATAATATAAAAGAAAGTCAGAAGTTTGAACACACACACACACACACACACACACACACACACACCCCGCTCTGAGGAAGACCAACGTGGCATTCGGCTTCTGTAAAGATTCCAGGCTTGGAGACACTGTGGGGAGTTCTGCTCCATCCTACAGAGCTGCTGTGAGTCAGAGACCACTCAATGAACAGGGATTGGATTCTGGGGCGCGCGCGCGCGCGCGTGTGTGTGTGCGTGTGTGCGTGTGTGTGTGTGTGTGTGTGTGTACTGATGACCCTAGGCATCTTGGACTTCATACGTACACAGCCCTAGATCACTCCTGACTTTGATCATTCTCTGCACACTCATGGTGCACTTCTGGTTTCACACGCTGCTGCTTCCCCTCTGCTAGAAGCTCCAGAGTGGCCTTTGAGGATCTGAATGGTCAGTTAATCATCTTATCATTCACAAAAGACTTTAAGGTCCCGCTAGTCCCATCCCACTGTGAGCGACCTAAGAGGGGCTAAAAAAACACAGTCCCTGCCCAGAAATAGAAGACAAGTTCAGTCAAAGGGACGCTGACTCTGTCCCCCAGGACACCTTCACAGCAGTCAAAGTTTGCTTGTAGTCTGATTAGCTGGTGACCTCACTCCTGGATTTTAACCCGTCAGCCTTTGCTTTGCTTTCTTGGCTGAGTTCTGTCACAACACACCCAGAAGTCTCCTCCTGTGGGCTTGATATGTTCAATGCTCATCTGAGAAACTGCAGTCAGAACAAACGTGTGAACTTGGGCCTTTCAAGCCGGTGTAACTAAACAGTGTCCATTTCAACCAGGGCTTTCAAATGAATGCACCCATGTTCACTCTGTTCCCAATGTCCACTGGCCAGCGTTAAAACTGGGCTTAGCTGCCTCTCTAACTCCTGAATGAAACCCACAAAAAGAGTGAGAAGGATTTGCTATAACCACCTCATAAAATATTCCATTTCATGTCTGCATAAGAAGTCACTTCCGTGAAGACTGGTAAAAAGGGGGAAAAAAAACCCCACCAACGCCAAACCTTGTGGAGGACTAGAGTTATTTCTGAAACAAAATGAGAGACTCTCTCTGAAGAGTTCTAGCTCAAGAGGCAGGCTGTTTAGTAAACAAAACCAAGCCAGGTGTGTCTTATTTAGGGTGACTGGCGGTTAATGGAAAACGATGGTGCTGCTAGAAGCTGGGTTACCTGCTATCAGCAAGCCTCTCTGCCTTTGTTTGGATGGACAGAGAAGTCCGAGTCCCATTTCTTTGATTCCTGTCTAGAGGAGGCGTTCTGGAAGAAAGAGCCTTAGCTCAGGAGAGAAACTGATGGCAAAGATTGGTGAGAAAGGATGATGCTGTTTCAGGGACTTGGCTGATGGACTGAACAGCTTGATTGCCAAAATAAAGCTGTTGTCAGAGTGTGATGGTTGGCCAGACACAAAAAGGAATGCTCGACACAGTGTGACACCCGAACCCGGGATTTCCACAAAGAAATCTAGAATATGGACGGGACATTGCAGATTCTGGTCCCATCTTTCTGACCTCTAAACTTGTTCAGAATTCTATGAATTTCCGTCTCCTCATCTGAACAATTCCTCTCTCCAACCTCAGAGGGCAGCTGTGGGATTGTGATGGGATTATGTCGACCAAGTAGACTGAAAAAGACCACAGTGTTGTTGACATTGCCACAATCACAGAACAAAGGAGAAGTTATCTGGCTCACGTGTCAAATTTATGGGGTTAAACCCGAAACATATGTCTTATTAGGAGTTTTTTTTTGCCCACAGTTTAGAAAAAGTGTTTCTACCTATATATCACTATATATAATCTCACAGACCTCTCTCTCTGTAATAAGTACTGTCTCGTAGTACATTCTGGTTCAACCTAGTTCTGTAATAGCCAGATATTGTTCCCTCTCCTCCCTCCATCTAAAGAAGCTTAATGAAGGACAGGCTATTAGAAAGCTCTTTAGTGGGAGTGAACATTCTTTTCCTGAATTACAGCTATCAAAGAGAGAATCTGTATCTGTGTCTATTCTACTTCCTACATTTTCTGTAATACATGCATCTCACACACGCGCGTTCTGACCGAGTACACATGCTTCTTTTCTCCGGCTAGTTTTAGCCTCTAGCTTTGGATTCTAAGTGCACATGTGGGGACGTGTGTGGGGTGCACAAAAGCCCCCTGCCCTGGTTACATTAGCGGGAAGTGCTTGAAAGAATAAAGTTGGTGGAAACCTTGACGACTTACAGAAACAACACCCCTATATTATTAAAGACGCTCTGGTGGTGTGGTGGTTAAGTGGTTGGCTTCTAACCAAGGTCAGCAGTTTTAACCCGTGGCCTGCTTTGTGGGAGAAAGATGAGACAGGCTGGTTCTGTAAAGATTTACAGTCTGGGAAAACCTCAGAGGCCCTTCTGCTCTGTTCCACAGGGCTGCCAGGAATCAGAATCAATTCCGGGGCAATGTCTGGGTTTTTCTGAGGGATGGTGTCCTCTATATTTTCCATTGCTTACTTGCAAAGGGAGCTGTAGTGGCCTGATGGATTAGAAGTTACATTACCAAACCAAAGGCAGGTGGTAAAAATAAAAGAAAATAAATGAGCAATCTCCTCCTGTGTAATTGACAGCCTCTGAAAACCAGCTGGAGAGTCAGCTATGAGTTGGTTCTCACTCAAGCACAGTAGATAGGGTTGAGTCACACACTTGCAAGTTAAAAGGAGAAAAAAAAATCTCTGGAGTTTTTGTGATGAATATTTTGTAGGCAGCTCAGTTGCCTTTGGGATCGCAGTGCAATTTCTTACCATGAGGCTACCAGAGTTATCAATTAGAGCTGATATCGCTCTGCCCTGATACATTAAAGCAGTGTTTCACAATCAGAGCTGTGCTTATGCAAGTGAAGAGAATATCGGTGTCATCAGGAATCTTAACCAGTTTATGATAATTATAAATGATAGACTTCTTCTAGTCTATTCTGCACTGGGCTGCTAATAGAAAGGTTGGTAGTTCAAATCCACTGGCCACTTTCCATATGCGAGTGTCAGCTCCTGTTTGTAGCCTTAAAAACTCCATGGAAGGCCACTGTGGGTGTGGTTATTTTGGTCACATAGCAGAAAGTCAAGGACTGCAGTCTTTCTAATATGGACGAAAATACAATATCAAGAAACAAAGATTCTCACAACTGGAACAATAGGCAGCACCATGACAGATCAAGAAGAGACTGAGATACTTAACAATTTCAGCTTGGATCCATAATCAACACTCTTCGCACCAGCAGTCAAGAAATCAAAAGACAAATTGCTCTGTGCAAAGCTGCTGTCAGGGACCTCTCCAGAGTGCTGAAGAGCAACAGTGTCAGTCTAGAGACCATGGTACACCTGATTCAGGCCATGGTCTTCACATTTACTTGCTATGCATCAGAGAGCTGGACAATGACCAAAGATGACATAAGAATTAACACCTTTGAGCCGTACTAGAGAAGAGTACTGAACATACCATGGACTTCCAAGAGAAGAAACAGGTTTATCCTGGAAAGGATGAACCAGACTTTCTCTTGAAGGCAAGGATTTTGAAGCTCTGTCTCACATACTATGGGCATACGGCCAGGAGAGGCCAGTCCCCAGAGATGGACATCATGCTTGGAAGGGTGGAGGGACAGCATAGGAGAGGAAGACCCTGGATGAGATGGATTGATACAGTGACTGGGATAATGGGAATATGTGTGTAGGAGTCAGTGAGACTGGCTTGGGATAGAGCAGAGTTCAGATCTGTTGTACATAGGGTTGCTATGAGTCACAGGTGACTTAATGGTACATCACAACAGCAACAACAGTCATGTTTGTTTGCCTGGGATTTTTAGCCCCTATGGTATAAGACTAATGAAAACATAGTAAGGGATAGATTCTATATTGGTCTGTAAAGGAAGATACTAATATGTATGTGTCTGTGCATAGAAATCTTCTTTGCAAGACCTCATACAACACCTGAAAACACGTAAGTGGAAGCTGACTTCTGTTTCAAATGAGTTCTTTAAAGTTTTCTCTCCCCCTGTCCTGTCGAATAAAAAGTGCACAGCTTGGCAATTAAAACAGTGGAAAGAAATGAGAGTTGTACATACAGCGTGCATTTGGCAAATTGCTTGTTTTGTAATTTAAATTCATTGTGTTATTTTAAATTTGGGGGACAGAGAAGAGTTACTGATTTTCTCCTTAAAATGAACGAGGCTTTTACGGTTTCCCTTCAGAATTCTTTCTTGATCATTTTAGTTTCCCTGAGTTTTTCATGGTTAGTGAAAGTACTGCTCAGATCAACTCAAACAACATCCCCACACGAAAGCAGTCATTCTGCACTGCTGGTGCCTAACCCCCTCAGAAAGTTTTCATTTTTACTTCTAATTTTCTGACATGGATAATGCCTTCACTGCGTTACATATCCATAGTGTTTTGGGTTTAGGCACCGACACTTTTAAACTATCACTTTTACTTAGAGAAAGAGCTTCAAAACAGTGCACTTAAAAATAAAACAAACAAACAAACAAAAAAAAACCCCAGCAACACAATGTTCCAACTTTATTAAGGTCCTAGATTTCACAATGAAACATGACAGTGGACCATATGGTGCACAACATTAAGTCAGAATCAACTCAGGGCCACCAGGTTATTTCTGCCTCCCTGCCCCGAGTCTCTTTTGAGATCTAGGAGCAGATTCTTTTCACTCGAGTGGTCAAGATCCTTCTGGACAGGACACAGAATGCGTAGAGAATGACACAGGTGGTCGTGGGCACAAACTGCAGTGAAGAATTAATTTGCTGATGGCACATTTGGATGTTTGTGGTTCATACACAACACTGTGGAATTCCGTAAGGAGAAGACACTTTGGCTCTATAAACACATTTCTGGCATTCCCAGATCCATGTCTGCTCTATTGACCAAAGCCCACACAGGGTGCAGAGAATGGCTTCGTATGTGGAAAGAGGAGTAAACTCTTTGACTTTAAAGTTTCTTCAAGGAACCCTGGTAATGGTGATTAAACCAACGGCGAAGTCTCTGTCTGCGAGTCAAAAGGCTGGCCACTGCCACTAGACCACCTGAAAGTTTTGTGGGAGACAGATGTAATGATTAGCTCCTGTAAAGACTGTTGTTGTTATGTGCCATCTAGTCACCTGGGACTCATAACGACCCTATGTACAACAGCCCTAAACTCTGCCCTATCCTGTGCCAATCTCACTATCTCCGACACACCTACCCCCATTACCCCTGTCACTGAATCAATCCACCTTATAGAGGGCCTTCCTCTTCTGCATTGTCCCTCCACCCTTCCAAGCATGATGTCCCTCTCCAAGGACCGGTCCCTCCTTGCAACATGCCCAAAGTATGTCAGGCGAAGCCTCAGAATCCTTGCCTCCAAGGAGTAGCCCGGTTTCACCATCTCCAGGATGAACTTGTTTGTTCTCCTAGCAGCCAATGATATGTATTCAATACTCTTCTCCAACACCACAGCTCAAAGGCATCAATTCTCCTTCTATTCTCCCTAGTCATTGTCTGGCTCTCAGATGCATAGCAAGTGATTGCAAAAACCATGGCCTGGATCAGGTACACCTTAGTCTCCAGACTGACATACTTTATAGAAGTCTCTAAGCACAGACTTTCCCATCACAAGAAATCTTTTAATTTTCTGGCTGCTGGTGCCATGAGTGTTGACTGTGGAGCCAAGGAAACCAAAACTGTGAACAATCTCAATCTCTTCACCATCTATCCTGATGCTGCTAATTGGCCTAGTGGTGAGAATCTTTGTTTTCTTGATATTGAGTCTCGATCCATACTGAAGGCTGCAGTCCCTGACCTTCCACATCAAGCACTTCAGGTCCTCCTCAGCTTCAGCAAGCAGGGTTGTGTCATCTGCATAACACAGATTGCTGATGACTCTTCCTCCAATCCTAATGCCACATTTCTCCTCATAGAGCCCAGCCTCCGGATAATCTACAGTCTAGAAAACCCCATGGGGCAGTTCTGCTGTCACATACGGCCACTGTCAGTCAGAACTGACTTCACCACAAAAAACCAAAGTTTTCTCCAGTCATCACAATATCTCTGGGGTATTCAAACTAAAAAAATGCCAACTCACAGCTGTTTAGTCTGGATCAACACATAGCTGATGCTGCAATGGGGTTTTGGAAGCTGTAAATCCGGCAACAGGACACTGTCCGTCTTTCTCCCACAGAGCTGCTGGTGGATTTGAAACACCAGAGAAGTACCACCTTTGGATTAGCCGTGCAGCTCCCTCCAGAGCATGCCCCCAGAGCTCACGGGACACTGTTGTTGTCACGTGCCGTCAAGTTGAGTAGGACCCATCACAACCCACTCTGTGCCGTTCTCACCATCTCCGACCCACTTGAGCCCATTCCTGCAGTTACCGTGTCAATCCACTTGGTTAAGGATCTTCCTCTCTTTGACGTCTCCCCCCCACCTCACTTTTCCAAGCATGTTATCTCTCTCTTAGCAACATGCCCAAAGCATGGGAGATAAAGTTTTGTCATCTTTTCCGCCAAGGAGCACCCTGACTGTACTTTGCCCCAGATATATCTGTTCTTTTGGCAGACCGTGGGACGTTCAGTACTCTTCTCCATCCACAGCTCAAAGGAATCAATTCTTCAGTCATCAGCTCTCAGTGTTCAGCTCTCAGATGCAAAGCAAGTGACAGAAAAGATCATGGCCTGAATGAGGCGTATCTTAGTCCTCAGATTGCTCCTCAATGATTTGGAGAGGTCCCTGACTGCACACTTTCCCACTGCAACGTCTCCTGATCTCTTCACTGCCTGGAACATTAGGTCAGTAGAGAGTTTGGATCTCTGTAGTAACCATGACTCAGTAGCTTACCTAAAGGCAGTCATCTATGGAGACAATAAAATCTTAACATCCAGAAGAGGTTATGCACGCACCTCATTTTCTGCATTTGTGGTGTGCTTTATTCTCATTTTGGTTATTTTTTAAAATGAATTTCTTATTCCACAAATATCTCAAACACTGGAAATCCTTAGCCTAAAGGTCTACTAACTCTTATAATAGTGAAACTCGAGTGATTACCAGTTCTCAAGTTGAAAAGGTGATATAAAAGAGTCTGGAAATTGTTGAACAATATCATTAATATCCCATTGTAGTAAAGTCTTGCTGAAGATTATTCAAAATAGGCTAGGACAGCCAGATATTCAGGCTGGATTCTTAAGGGGGACTGCAATGAACAACAGCATTGCCAACATCAGATGGACCTTGGTTGAAAGCAAAGGATACCTGAAAGATGTTTATCTATGTTTTACTGATTATGCCAAAGTATTTGCTAAATTATGGATAACATTGGGAGTATCAGGAATTCTAGAACACTTCATTGTGCTTATGTGTAAACTACACACAGATTAAGAAGCAGTCATTCGGCTAGAACAAAGAGATTAAACTGCCTGGTTTAAAATCAGGAAAGGTGTGCGTCAGAGTTGTATCCTTTTAAAATATCTATTCAACCGATATGCTGAGACAATAATTCTAGAAGCTGCATTATATGGAGAAGATGTGGCATCAAGATTGGAGGAAGACTTAGAATGAGTTTATTTTACCTGGATCCACAATCACTATCCATGGAAGCAGTAGTCAAGAAATCAAAAGATGTGTAGCCCTGAGGAAATCTCTTCTCCTTAAAGTGTTAAAGAGCAAGGTTATTAAAGACTAGGGTTCTTGACTCAAACCATTCTATTTACTGTATCTTTCTATACCTGGGAATGTTGGACAATGAACAAGGAAGATGGAACAATTGATGCCTTTGTATTAACTATCCATACTCTAGACTGCAAAATAACAAATATATCTTGGAAGAAACACAACCACGGTACTTGTTAGAGGCAAGGGCAGTGAAACTCCATCTCACACACTTACAGCAGGTTGTCAGAAGGTCCTTGGGAAAGGACATTGAGCTTGGGAGAGAGAGAGAGAGGATCACTGAAAGAGAGGAAGATGCTTACGGAGATGTATTGATCGACACATTGAGCACAACAATGAGCTGGTCATGACAGAGATGCAGGACAGGGTAAGGTTTTGATTTGTCATCTCTTGGGTCACTATGTGTCAACATCACCTAACAATAACAGCTCGAGTCTTTTCTTTCTCATTATGTCTTCTTGATCTCTGTGTCTTCCCCCAAACCAGAGTTAATGAGAGCTACACGCTTGACACAGATGAAGGGGTGTTACAGGTTGGCTTAACTGCAGAATTTAGGAGCAGTGTCTTGCTTCATAAAAAGGCAGGAGAGAGGAATTCTGCATATACCACGGACTTTCAGGGGAACAAACAAATCTGTCATGGAAGAAATGCATCCAGAATACTTTTCAAAAGCAAGGATGATGAGACTTCATCATATGCATTTTGTACAAGTTACCAGTTCATGGAAAACAACGTAATGCCCGGAAAAGCCAAGAGAAAGGAAGATCATCAGTAAGACAGAGTTGACACAGTGGCTGGACCAATAGGTGACAGCACAGCAGTGATTGTGGGGACGGCACAGCACCTGGCATGGTTTTATTTTGTTATATGTAGAGTCGCTCTGGGTTGGAACCACCTCGTTGAGTCCTGGATTATTTGAAAAACTGAATTAGTCCTATAATAAAACATGCTATGCATCTCCGGTAATCATGCTAGCCTTCTAACTATACATTCCCTAGCTTAGGTCAGGACAAAGGACTTTTTTCCCTTTAGAAATCCTTTCTCTAGAGTTCATGTCCAATTCGTGTTTTTGCTCTTCAGTCTTACTGGAATAAGCTTTTCCAGTTGAGGGTGCCCTTCCTTTCTTTGTGTATCTTCCAAGTCAGCATATAGATTCTTGCTGACACTTTCATACATACTTAGTCTCTAGTAATGTTTTAATCCTAAAGCAGACAGGAAGCTTTGACCTACTTTACCCTTCTTCTGGTTTTCACTTTTAATAAAGCTAATGAAATGATATCTCAGTCCATGGGCAATTTCTCTGACTGTAGTTAGATAAGAATGATCAGTTTTGATTTTCAAGAGTTGTCTCACATGCTCACCAATTTCCAGACAGATTTGACATACATAATTGCATTAACTTTGTGCTTGCTCATTTAAAAAATCATGTATCTCAAAAAGCAATTTGTTGGCTAAAGTTTTCCTTCGATAATACCCAAACCCCGAAGTTAAACCCATTGCTGTCAAGTCAGTTCTGCCTCGTGCAATCCTCCATCAGATTGCCATGGCTGTTTTGTCACGTGGAGTGATTGGTAGATTTGAACCATTGACATTTTGCACAGCAGCCCAGCACTTTCACTCAATGTTTTTAATCATGACATTATACAAAACTTTAGAAATGTAGAAAAAGTCTGTAAACACCACCTCTTCCCTGGACCATAACGATTAATCAATCTATAGGAAGAATTTCTGCTAAAAGTAAGTCTGATATCTAAACTTAAGGCTCCATTTACTAATTTGATAAATATTTGAGTATCAAAAATGTATAATCAGAATGATTTTTAAATATTTATTATTATTATTATTTGTGTGTGTACCACCAAATCAGATCTGACTGGTACAGGAGGAGATTGTCCCTCCTTTTCCAGCAAAGCATCTGGTGGATTTGAACTGCTCACCTCTGGGATTGCAGTGCAGCTTCTTGCCACTAGGTCACCAGAGCTTTTCAGAATGAATTTTGATTAAAAAAAAAAAGAATTTGAGTTTTAGCACTAACATTTACCATCTCTACTACGTAGGGACAGTGATGTAAGCTCTTTCTGTCTCAGTTTATATTCTACAAACTGGAAAAATAGACTCACTATTTCACAGGGTTATTGTGAAAATGAAGTGAAACATATACATGTCAAGCTTTAGATGCTGTGTGGTGGGTGGGTAAAGCTTTATGTCCCCAAAAGAGTAAGTGCTGAATAAATGCTTATTTTTTTTCCCTCCTTCAAAGAAATTTAGCTTAGTGGGAGAGATACATCCAGTGATATAAACAGCAGGATTAGTTATAAACATAATGCTACTACTTGTTGGAAGGAGGAGTGGCATCCACTTTCATAATAGCTTGCCTCCAGAAACCCTATGAACCTGGAGAGAGGATGAAAGGCACCCAAGCGCCGAGGACTCTCCTTCATAGGGTCGCTATGAGTCACCTGTGACTTGATGGTACTTAACAACAACAAGAACAACTACTTGTTGTACCACTATGTTGACCACAGTGCATCCACAGCACGTTCTTTCTGATTGTTATGTATGTAAAGCTGGATAAGATTGTTATGTATGTGAAGCTGGATAATGAAAAAGGCAGCCAATTGATGTCTTTGAGCTGTGGAAGCATGAGAATAATTACGTATACTCTGAACTTCCAGAAGAACAAACAAATTAACAAAACAACCAGAATGTCCCTTAGACATGTTTCTGGTAAGACTTGCTTTCTTTGGACATGTCATCAGGAAAGAGTCACTGCTAGAGAAAAACATCATGGGTGGTAAAGTAGAAGATCTACAAAACTGAGAGAAACACTCAATAAAATGGACTGACAACAATGAGCTCAAATATAATGACCTTGAAGGTATCATATGACCAGGCGATGGTTTGTTTTGTTATATATAACGTTCCATGAGTTGCACCTGACTCACAACTAACATGGACACAATGGTAATGGTGGTGATCATATTTTTTAGCAGCAGTAATAAAAGAAGTGATTGCAACAGAAGTAATGGCACGGAGAATATACTTTATGCAAACTGTATTAAGTAATTTATATTTGTCATTTAATCTGTACAGGAACTCTGCAAAAAATATTATTTTCTCCCTTGAAAAAATAGTGAGAATTTCATGAGGATGGTCGTATCTGACCTCTATTTACATCACAAGACGGAACAGTGTCCATCACCAACATCCACAACACAAAATCAATTTTCATCAGGTCAGGGTTGCCTTCTACACATCTAACACAATCC